TATAGATGAAGGCCAGAATGTTTTTGGAGTTACAAATGTGTAACCTGGAGTTACACATTTGTAACTGTGTAGCATTCACAATCCCTATGTAGCCTCTATTTGAGAGGACGTGTCAGGATCATAAAAGCCCCCAATCCCATTTACCAGGAAACAGCAACTGTGACTAACAGGGTTCCATTCCCCTGTCACTTGGGAAGCAGGTGACTGATGGTTACACATGAGCATTATCCAGCACGAGTGGGAATTGTTACTGGGACTCCCTTTTGTCTGTTGCAACAGAGATTGCTCATGGGAGGGAGTGCAAACATAAATCACCTGCTTCTTGAGCAATAGGGGAGTGGACTCGCATTGATCACAGTGGCTATTTCCCAGTAAATGGAGTTTGGGGTGGGCGGGCTGGAATTCACTGCCTAGCTCCATAACTACAGTAGTTATGGATTTGTAACTACCCAATAAGATTAATCACAAAAGCGCAGCCAACTGTTAGTTATTCAGTTTTTTCTTACTATAATTATAGCCCTGATGTGTGGCAGAGAGTCAATTTTCTACTTTACCTCAGGTAGCAACAACATGTGAAATAGTCTTCTTTACAGCTCAGTTGCCAAAAAGGCAAGGGATAATTCTATTACCCTCTTTCTCCCTACAGTCTCTTTTTGAGGTTCTGCTCTAGATTGTCTGCCTTTTATGGGGCTCTTCCTCTGGACCATGGGTGGGGAACCTGAATAAAATGTATTCCTGTATTTTAGAGGGCACCCATCCCCCCAGAAGCCCCTGAAAAAATGCAATTTCCCTCTAACAAGGTATATGCTATCCAACTGCCTTGTTTTAGTGCAAAAATTTGGGTTCTCCCCTTGTGTGTCTGTAAATCTCAACGTCTAGTTGTCACCACACTGCTAAATTTGCCAGTACACTGTAGCAGAAGGGGGGCATAGTAGGATATGGGGGATCAAAATTAGCCCCCAGATACCTGTTTCCAATTCTTTCCTGAGAAACATCCCAAATTACTCAGCTTCATCTTGGTTACCAAGGAAAGACCAGATTTTGTTGAGCTCCAAGACTACCAGCTCCATTGGTGTGCATATATCATGGCAAAAACAGTTTGTACACCTAAGATGTTAAAGGGTGAAGTGAGGAATTGAGGTGGGGAGAGGAAGAGAGATTAGCCTCGAAGAAAAACTCACCATCCATTTCTCTCTCTCTCTCTGTTTGGCATCCCTGAGCAAAAAATTAAAATGGACAAAGGTGGCAAGAAAATAAAAAGAGACACTGCACAAGCCAACAGTCCTCAATACCATCTCTCTGTCTGCTTCTGCTTCAAAGCTAGCAAAAGCCACTGTCACATTGGTCATGGATGTGTTGGTATCTGAAGAGGCTCCTTGGGAGCCTGATCAAGTGTGAATTCATTGAAACTCTCAGCTGCTGTGTAACATGCAGGTCCCAGCTGTTCTCTTGCCCTTCCTATCTTGTGCCTTCATGCCATTGTCTTGCCTGCCACCCACTCTTTTGCACCTGCTCTGATGTCTGTAGACAAGACAAGACACCTTAATTGATTTTTGATTGCTGGTTTATCATTGAGGTTGGTCTCTGAATGATTCTTAAGTAATCAAGTAAGAACTCCCTCATTCATTCATTCCACTCATAGTCATTTTGCAACTCTATTACTAGGGTTGGTGCCACCAGGTGCAGTAATTCATGATGTCCCCCCCCACTGACCTCCTCCCACACCACACCATACAGAACCTTTAGTAATTTTTGTACTAATGTTACTCATTAATCATAATTCCTGCATATCACTCAACCTCATGGTAATAGTTGTGACATAAACAACTAGCAAAATTAAAATTATACCTTTAAATTATATTATTATATGCACAGCCTCAATCCATTTACATATACATAGATTCATGTGGTTGAAGTGAATATTTGGTAAAAGGTTATGTTTTTAAAGAAACATTTAAAAGAATAAAAATATATTTTTAAAAAATTAAAATTTTGAAATTTGAAACTTAAATTTTAAAAAATC